TCTAAAATGTTTAGTGTTCTACATTAAGAATATATATATCATCAATCTAATAATGAAATTCCCATGCACTTTAAAGCTCACCTTATCTTATCTACCATATCTATATTTTGTAATAATTTGGAAAACTTAAAATATTTTGTTTATTAGTATAATTCGATTTTGATATTGTTAAACAGAAATTCTTGAGCAAATCTTATCTAAAATAATCAAAAATAACAATTATATTCTCATCTATAAATTCTGCATCCATGATTTATTCGAAAATATATAAAACTAATTGGTCATATTTTCAACAGTTCCATGTGTAGTCCTAAGTTTATGAAGAGTTATTTTTCTATTAAAACATTAACACTTGATAAACAAAAAAAACTTTGAATTTATATAACATTTTAATTGATGTTAAAATCCTTTAAGTAGTTTTATGATAATATCTTATGCCAAAGAAAAAGAAAATGTTGGATATTTTTCCAATATCTGTATGCAGTTTGAAAAAAAAAACTTTTTCTATTTCAGATCATTATCCTTTGCTTATGAAAAATATTTCAGAATGCTTATAATAAACAACCATATTCCTACTCTTAAGTTCCATCTTCTAATACTAATAATTTCTAGGATTTTAGGATTATACAAACTACAATAAAAATTTTGATTTAAACTTTCCTCCTTTTGATTAAACAGCATTAAGTTTTATGCGAATAATTATAAACAAATTTCTTTTAAGATAATAAACTCATAGAATTTAGAAATTAAAATTAGTCAATATTTTTTGAGTTATAGATTTGCTCATTAAACTTATCATATTTTAAGTTGAAGAAAACCATCAATTTAAATCGTACAGCTTCAATTTTAATTGATCATTTTATTTTTTAGCATTAATTGAGTGATCCTAATTCTTATATTTGTTTACAAGGATTCTTATTTATTAAACTATGTAGCAGACTTTCCTTCTTCACTCAATTAATTAATGATTCTCGAATTTAACTTTCGCACTTTATTATATTTACCTTATAATAACTCAGGGGCAATTTCCACCAGTTGAGGTAAAACGATTTGCCAATCAAAAATCATATACTATTTTATCAATCAACTGTTATTTCTTCTAAAACTTAATAATCACATGCTTATACCCTTTTTAAAGAATTAATCAATTAACAAAGACATTTTTGTATTCAAGATTATAATAAAAGTATAATCCTTATATTATAGAATTGCTTAGAGCTTCAAATATCCTCTAATAACTCAATTTCAAACATCCTAAACAGGTGAAAAACTTATTATTTCAGTATTATTTGTAATAGAGTATAATTTCTATCTTATAAAGTTAGATAGCTTGATAATATTCATAACTTATACATGAATTTTTTTGCTTCATCACAAAATAGGCTTTTCTATTCTTTTTTCTATATTATTATGCTGACTCTTGTTTTCTTCAAATATTCCATTTTGAAAGTAGAGAATCTCTAAATTATCTGAGAACTTCATTTAAAATGTTGTATTCTAAATTTCCATTTAATAAGAATAAAACCCTCTCTTCAAACCAGGTTACATCATTATTTTATGATTATTCTTATATTTAAAAGTATATTATGATTAAAATATTGAATATACTCATTCAGAAATTTACAATTTAATTAATCTACTTCAAATCATTTTTTAACATTGAAATTATATGCATAAGAAATTTATGGCCAAATAAAAAAGCAAATTAAATTCAAATTAGAATGAAAATGACAATTGTTTAACAAAAGTAATATTTGAACCCAGAACTTATGAGAGTTTCTTTTAAATTAATTTAATGAAGTTATTTTTTCAAATAGCTACAATCAGAAATAATGATAGTATCATACTTTTAAAACAACTTTTTTGTAGGGAAAAACGATTTTGAAGTGTGAATACAACTTAAATAGTATGATATCTTAAACTATTAACTTTATATTGAGATTTGTCAAACTAAAATAAGCCACAATTGGCTTACATCTCTAATCTTGCAATTAATATTCCCAACCTTCATAGCATTGTAAACAAAGGCTTCTAACCCAAAAAAACAAATTTCAAAAGGCAAGTTTGAGGAGCCTAAATCAATTTATTTTATCTTTGTTTTACAAATAATTAAAATTCTTTTATTCCAAAACAAGGAATAAATGACACTACATCATATTTAACCATTGCAACTTCAATACGAAATGTAGTAGTAGGGTTTCTATCCAAATTCATTTATTTTCACTTCTAATAAATAATTTAAAAACAGAAAAATCCTTGCATTAGATAGAAGAAATTAATTTTAATTGTATTGATATGGTTCTTCTGATTAATTTAAAATTTTTGAAAATAATATTATACAAGGTTGATTATCTGGTTTGATTGTTAGTGTTGGATCGAAGAAAGCCTTAAGCTCTCATTTTACACAACTTGCAAACTGAAGAAGAACAATACAATAAATATTTATTTTATCCTATTCTCTTCTAATTTCTCTTTCTTTTCATAAATTAAAAATATTGTGATAAACATCATATATCTAATAATTTCTCAATTATTCATCAAATAATCTATTTTAACAATCATATTGCATTTAATCAGTAATTTCTATATAAAAATTGAACTGTTTTGCCCGTATCCAAGTATTTTGTTTAGCTCGAAAATTAGTTAAATTGTTTGATGCTCTATACTGTCCTCAAAAAGATATTCTAATTAGGACCAACCCTTTAGATTTCTTATTAAAGATAACTACTAATAAGGCTTAATGAAAAAAATCCCTCTTTAACTAATGTTTCATCAGTACCCTTGTAAATTTACTATAACTCTGAGTTTAGCTTAGCTAATTTAACTTTAGATTACTTGTTTCCATTTGATATCCTACTTCTAAACCCAAATATTTATATATTTTAGAATCTTACAAAGTATGTTCAAGTTTATTCAAATTTGATGCTACAAGTATATTCATATAAATAAATGATAAATATTACTTTCATTTAAGGATTGGAAGGGTGAATTATGAATTTAGTTGATATTTCTATAAGTTCTTTAAGTTTACATGAAAAAGTATATTAAAAACATCACCTGATTGAATTAAATTTTACTAATTAAATATTAAAGGAGAAAAAGAGGAGTTTTGTTTATTAAACTATGTAATCAGATTAAATCTCTCTTTACAATCTTGGATATATAGATTTTGTTTCTTTAAAAAAAATAAATTATTATAAATATCGCCTAATATTTACAAATAACAAAATTATATCAGTTTATAAATATAATATATGATGCAACAAAAAAGTAAGCTTCTAATAGAGAATATTTTATTAATATGGTTGTTCAAAATTTGCTACATAATATTTAAATTACTAATCTATTCTCAATAAAATCTCTGAAATTTTTAATCAATCAGTCAATAATAAAAAGTTTGTTTCTGAATTTGATTTAGCAAATTTATTATTATCTATTATAATTGGATTCAAATTATTGAGAGGAATACCCTGATAATAAAATTCTAACTTAACCATCATATAAATAACATTATAAAGTTTCAATAAAACAAATCAAGAAAGAAAAATATAGAGTAACAGCACAGAACAATAATCTACTTAAAACTTGTATTTATATCCTTTAATTAAATACTAATTCAAATCGTTTGGTACCCACTTGATAGCATTCTTCTAATTATCATTGATTAACTCAACGTTGATTATCATGTAAGTAAAGTTTAAGCATTCATTCTTTCTTTATATTTGTTGAATATTTAAATTTATATTTCTTTTTTTAATTANATAGAAGAAATTAATTTTAATTGTATTGATATGGTTCTTCTGATTAATTTAAAATTTTTGAAAATAATATTATACAAGGTTGATTATCTGGTTTGATTGTTAGTGTTGGATCGAAGAAAGCCTTAAGCTCTCATTTTACACAACTTGCAAACTGAAGAAGAACAATACAATAAATATTTATTTTATCCTATTCTCTTCTAATTTCTCTTTCTTTTCATAAATTAAAAATATTGTGATAAACATCATATATCTAATAATTTCTCAATTATTCATCAAATAATCTATTTTAACAATCATATTGCATTTAATCAGTAATTTCTATATAAAAATTGAACTGTTTTGCCCGTATCCAAGTATTTTGTTTAGCTCGAAAATTAGTTAAATTGTTTGATGCTCTATACTGTCCTCAAAAAGATATTCTAATTAGGACCAACCCTTTAGATTTCTTATTAAAGATAACTACTAATAAGGCTTAATGAAAAAAATCCCTCTTTAACTAATGTTTCATCAGTACCCTTGTAAATTTACTATAACTCTGAGTTTAGCTTAGCTAATTTAACTTTAGATTACTTGTTTCCATTTGATATCCTACTTCTAAACCCAAATATTTATATATTTTAGAATCTTACAAAGTATGTTCAAGTTTATTCAAATTTGATGCTACAAGTATATTCATATAAATAAATGATAAATATTACTTTCATTTAAGGATTGGAAGGGTGAATTATGAATTTAGTTGATATTTCTATAAGTTCTTTAAGTTTACATGAAAAAGTATATTAAAAACATCACCTGATTGAATTAAATTTTACTAATTAAATATTAAAGGAGAAAAAGAGGAGTTTTGTTTATTAAACTATGTAATCAGATTAAATCTCTCTTTACAATCTTGGATATATAGATTTTGTTTCTTTAAAAAAAATAAATTATTATAAATATCGCCTAATATTTACAAATAACAAAATTATATCAGTTTATAAATATAATATATGATGCAACAAAAAAGTAAGCTTCTAATAGAGAATATTTTATTAATATGGTTGTTCAAAATTTGCTACATAATATTTAAATTACTAATCTATTCTCAATAAAATCTCTGAAATTTTTAATCAATCAGTCAATAATAAAAAGTTTGTTTCTGAATTTGATTTAGCAAATTTATTATTATCTATTATAATTGGATTCAAATTATTGAGAGGAATACCCTGATAATAAAATTCTAACTTAACCATCATATAAATAACATTATAAAGTTTCAATAAAACAAATCAAGAAAGAAAAATATAGAGTAACAGCACAGAACAATAATCTACTTAAAACTTGTATTTATATCCTTTAATTAAATACTAATTCAAATCGTTTGGTACCCACTTGATAGCATTCTTCTAATTATCATTGATTAACTCAACGTTGATTATCATGTAAGTAAAGTTTAAGCATTCATTCTTTCTTTATATTTGTTGAATATTTAAATTTATATTTCTTTTTTTAATTAAAACCGATTTTTTTTTCACTTAGATTCAATATTAATCAAATGGCACTTTTAATTTCCTTTCTAAAAATATTATTTCTAAAATCGATAGCATATGAAAATTGTATGACCGATGATGCAGCTGATTGTAGATTTACAGATTTTTAAATTGCTGGAACAATTGGTGGAACTTTAGGAAGGTGTGGTTCAGACCCTAAAAATTTATATTTGGGACCTTTTGGATAAAGAACGACACTAACTAAAACTTTTACAAATATTCCCCCTAATAAAGAATTGGAAATGTCATTTAATGTTTGGAAATTAGACTCTTGGGATGCTGAAGGATTTGAGATTTATGTGAATAACGAATTATTAGAAAATCTAGTCATTTAATTTGGTAAAGGTGCAATGATTTGTAGAAATGAGTTGTATGAAGATTCCCTAGAGCCCCTTTCATTTAAATTTTCTATTATAGGAAGTGATTTAATAATTAAAATTAAAGATAATTTAGATTAAGATCTTTCGGATGGTATATGTAAATGATTTTTAGAATCCTGGGGAATAAGAGACTTTGTTTTAAGACTAAAAGTTCCTTGTGTAAACTTTTATAGTGAATGTAATTATACTGGAACATTATTGTAAATATGCCAAGGAGAGTAATCAAAATTACAAAACTACATTCCTTTTGAAATCAAATCAATCTGGATGGGTTCTGGTATTATTGTCTAATTGAAAGGCCCAAATTTCTTTGATGGTGTATTACAAGAGTTCACCTCTTCCTAATCATGCTTGGACGGATTTTAGGTATTCATGACATTAAGAATTCTTAGTTTCCAAAAGTTATATATTAGGAATGATTATTATCAATTAGAAAATTTTTAAATTTCAATTATTTCTTTCTTCAAAATATTAGAAATAAAGGTTAATTTAAAAAATTGTCAGCTTTAAAACCAATGAGGTCTGGTTAATTAGGAGCAAAATGAGAGAAGCTCAGAAATTGTGATTTTAAATTAAATTCTGAATTCAAAATTTTAGGATTTTTCTTAATTAGTTTTTCTAATTAGTTCTTAAAATTTAGTAAGATGCAACTTCAAATATAATCTAAACTCTCTAAATGTATATAACTTATAAGAACATCTTTGTATTTCTCATTGATAAATTTAATATTCGATCTAGGAAAATTGAAATCTACATACGAAGGATCAGATTAGATGTCAATATTCTTCACCTTTTATGATTCATAGATATAATAAATACTCTTTTGATTTCGATCTTTAATTTCATATATGCAAAGTTACCTGGATTCGCAAACGAGGAGGATAACCAACTGACTTAACTTACTAAACAAGACATACATCATTTTAGTAATATAGAAATTCAACCTAAACTGATTCATCTGATTACAGGCCAGGAATAGAATAAAGCATTATATTGAGTATTGCAAGCAGATTCTTTTATAAAGAGTAAATTAACATAATATTAATATTAGTAGTTATATTGTCAAACAAATCACTAATGTAAAGATGAGATTTAATAATAAATAAATGTAATTAACTTTATATTATTCATCAGCCTCATAAAGAGATGTAATGACTGATGATTTATTCTTTCCTTCTTTGTAAATCCTCTATGTTTTATTTGTTAAAGGAAGAACACACCTGAAAATTTATCAACATTCATTCTTTGTGATATATGTCTAGCATTTTAGTAATTTTATATGTAATCAAATGTGTTTTTGCTTATACTTGACAAATAGATAGCTCTGTAGTTAATAAATATAATAAATAATTTCAAGGTACCTTAAAATTGAAAATGACATATTATTCTTTCCTTTCATAATCAAAATTTCTTTAAGTTAATTTTTTAAATTTTTATAGATGAATTCCTGGTATTTTGATAAGTCAAATTACTCATATAAATCTAATACATAATACATTTTTGATCATATATTAATATTAATAATATTCTCATCTCATCATCATTTTTGTCAGAATGCATTTTTTATTTGTTTATGAATTCTTAATATTCTGAATTTTTTAACCTGAAATTTAATAAATTTAATGCTCTCACAAAATATTACAGGGTAATCTACATTTTTTTAAGCGAAAATAACTAAATTACATAAAAGGAGAGTCAAGAATTACCAAAACATCTGCAGTCTCAGATAATAACTATACAGAAACTTCTATACTATAGTAAATCAATAAGAAATAACTTATGTTTACAATGGGTCAATATTGAGAATGTAAAAGTTGATATCTTTGTTTAGAGAAAAAAATTATGAAGGTTATTAATAGATGACAAATCTTGAATAAATCAATTACTTATATTGGCAAGGAGTTTATGGAAATAATAATTAGAGGGTTGGATATTGGATGGCTACATGGGATGGAGAGGCTTTGACAAATGTTGGAGGACATTACAATGATGATGGTAGAAAAGAGGGAAATTGGGTAGAAATAATATCGACATTTTGTGCATTATGTATTGTTTTTGAGTATTAAATGTTACAGCTTAGGTTTATGAAATAGGAGAGTATGAGAATGGTTTAAGAAAGGGAAGGTGGAAATATGTCTATTAAAATAAAGAAATGTAATTATAATTCTTATTAAAAGAGGTGGTGGTGAATATAGTTAGTAAGGAGAAAAGTTAGGACATTGGAAAGAACTATAAAAAGGATTTCAGGATTGCTCCTAGGTTTTTTATCAGGGGGAGTACAAAAGTTGCAAGAAATTTGGTAGATGGGATGTTAGTTGGATCAATCCTTATAATAATAAACCAGAATTGATGTAAAACAGTATTTAAATTTGACAATTAGTGGTTGCGAAACATATGATGAATAAGGAAATGGTATTTAAGTAGGTAATTAGATCGAGTTATCAGATGAATTTAATGTTAATTCTTAAGTAATTTATAATGGCGAATATTAAAACGGGAAAAAAGTTGGTAGATGGGATATTATGTATAGAGAGCATTCGAATTATACATTTAAATTAATGTAAGATTTTTATGTACCTAAATTCTATGTAGCGGGGGTGGATTATATGATGAACTAGGCGAAGGGATGAAAGTAGGTAAATGGATTGAGTTATTTGATGGATTTTATAATCATAAGTAAGTCACATAATGTGGGCAGTATAAAAGTGGAAAAAAAGTGGGTAGATGGGATATTATGTTTAGGGATAATTCTAATTACCCATTTTAATTAATGTAAAATAATCATGTATTAATTATATTTAGAGGAGGTGGATCATATTATTTAATATGTGAGGGAATTAAGCTCGGTAAATGGATTGAACTTTCAGAGGGATTTGATAATCATTCTTAAGTAACGTATATTGGTGAATATAAAAATGGTAAAAAAGTTGGTAGATGGGATATTATGTTTAGAGAGCACTCAAATCATCAATTTGAAATGATGTAAAATAATTTTATCTAATTTTGTCTAGTGGCGGCGGATTATTTGATGATAAATGTAATCAAATAAAGTAGGGTAGATGGATAGAGCTTTCGGATGATTTCCAAAAACTTTCTTCAGTAATTTACGATGGTCAATATTAAAATGGTAAAAAGGTAGGTAGATGGGATATTTTGTTGTTGGATTTCAGAGAGAAAAAAAACCTTTTGATGTAAAAAGTCTATTAAGCTTATGTAATTAATTTTTTTAGTGGTGGTGGTTTATTTAATAAGCAAGAGTTTCCTTTAAAATAGGGTAGGTGGATTGAGGTTTCAGATGGATTTCAACATAATTATTAAGTAACGTATATTGGTGACTATTAAAACGGGAAAAAAGTTGGTAGATGGAATATTATGTTTAGGGAGGATTCAAGTTATCGCTTTAAATTGATGTAATTAGTGTGACCTAATATGTTTAGTGGTGGGGGATCATATGGTGAGAAAAGTAATCAGATAAAGCAAGGTAAATGGATAGAACTTTAGCATCAGCTTTAGCTTGTTTTTAATTTAATTTTTTACGGAGAATTCAATAATGGGATAAAAATTGGCGCATGGAATTTTTATTATAAAGACCTTTTTAGGAATTAGGTGAAACTTATGTAAATTAATTTATAAATAGAAATGCAAAGTGGTGGTGGGTCATATGATAAAGGTGGAAAAGGGAACAAATGTGGTAAATGGACTTTGCCTTGTCATACATTTTGTTATGGGTAAGAAATAACTTGGAAAGGAAAATATCGAAATGGGAAAAAAGTCGGTTAATGGGATATTTTCTTTACTGAATTTGATAGTGTTGGAAATTTTGTAAGTAATCAAAAGATGTAAAAATAAATTTTAAAATATTTATTCAGTGGTGGAGGAATGTACGAAAGAAAAGGTGAAGAAGTTAAGATTGGTTATTGGAGAGAGTTATGGGAAAGATTTGATTGTTTTCATAATGTAATTTTCAATGGTGAATATAAAAATGGTCAAAAGGTTGGTAGATGGAATATTTTGCATAGAGTTTTTAGGGATTTTCCATAATATTAAATGTTTAATTGATAATTTATTAAAATATTTATAGCGGAGGTGGGTGTTATGATGATCAAGGGGATGGTATTAAGCACGGTAAATGGATTGAATGGCAGAACGATTTAATTGAAAAGAGTGAAGTAATTTATAAAGGTGAATATAAAAATGGGAAAAAAATTGGTCTTTGGGATACTCTCTTTTAGGATGATTTAACTCATTCATGGAAATTAATGTTAAACTTATTATGTTATTTAATTTGATTAGTGGAGGAGGTTTATATGATGAACGAGGTGAAGGGACAAAACATGGTAGATGGATTGAGTTGTCTGAAAAGTTTGAATCAGATTATTGGGTAACTTTTAATGGTTAATATAAAAATGATAAAAAAGTTGGTAGATGGGACATTTGGCATTGGGAATGGGTCGTAAGGAAACTAAAATTAATGTAAGTAACATTATATAAAGTCTGAAATAATTTTTAGTGGTGGCGGATCTTATGATGAAAATTGTGAAGGGAGCAAAATAGGTAATTGGATTGAGTTGGCAGATGAATTTTATAGGGTTAATTAAATAGTTTCTTATGGTCAATATCACAATGGTGAGAGAGTTGGGAAATGGGAAAATACGAAACTTCCCAGAAAGTGAATTGATGAAATTTTATCACATTTAAATAATAAGGAAATATTTATCAATTAATTTTTCTTTCTAATAAAATGAATTTTGATTAAATTAGCCCTTAGAAATCTTGACCTAATCAAAATTGAAGCCAACTTAAATTTAATATTGTATGTTATTGTTTAAATCAATAAAAATAATAATTGTTATAAATATAAACCTTATATAAATCTAAAAAAATAGTTTTAATAAATTTCAATTATTTTTGCCATCTAAATAATCTTCAATTCCCCTTTTCTCTCCTTATTTTAGCCATGATTTATAGCCTTTATATCTGAAGATTTATAGACAAAGTCTCTTAAAAGCTCATCTTTATAACCTCTTAACTTAGAGTGAATATTTAATAAATTGGAGTTGATCCTGGAAGATTTTAGTTTCTATTTTTGGAGTAGTTATTTATAAATATTTGAAATTGATTCCACTAATAAATAATGTTGAACTCTAAAAGCTTGTGACATATAAAACTCAAGTGATACAAATTTGCATAAGTGAAGTTGGCCTAGAAAAGCCGATAAACTCAATAAGTGTAAAACCTAAACGATAAGTGATCAGCTTAATAGTAGATAATCTTATTCAGAAATAAAAGGAAATTAACATAAAATTTAAAGTAGTAAATTGTTATATTTTAGATTAAGCAGAAATTATTTAGAAAAAAGAGTATAACTACTTTTTAGAATATTATCAAAATAAAAGAAAGTTTAATTACTTATTTAGATAATATTCTAACTCAGAATTATAATTGAGGTAGATATTGATTCTGTCTAGTATCTGTATTTATCTAATAGCATTATAATATCTTGTGACCTACAAACGGATTAATTTATACCAACCGTTTCTCTTTAAAGTACTGCACACAACTGGCTTATTATCACACTGTTTTCCTAATATTATTCATGTCTGGTATAACAGTTCTTCAGTTGAATTTGGTAATTAATTTAAGATGTCATCAATAAGCTTTAAAATTATTTTACTCTATTTTAAAACCAAAAATATATTCTATCTCTCATTATTTGATTTTGGATATATTCCCTTTAACATAATGGCGCTGTTTTATTAAGGTAATTTATTTTCCTAATATATATCAGAGAATTCTATAGTATTACTGAATTAGGTTGTTAAATATTCTGCAAATTGATGTTTATCTTATAGAATGAGGAAGATGCTTGGGGTAGAATCTACAGATAATAGCACTTTGACTTCAGTAATATTTATTACACTACAATTCTGTAAAAGTTTATATCGCTAAAGTCGTAAAGATTATATTTAAAACCAAGCTTGAGTGCTGCGTGCTATTTGCACTTTACACTAACAAAATTGATAGATACTCCTTTGGTTAATTATTTATATTCGATTTTAAATTAATTTATGAAAAGAGATTTAATTATCGAACAATCTGTTATATTTTTCCAACTAATTTGAGCACAAATGAGTTAATTTATAAGTATTATTCACTTATAGCTTAAATGGACTCAAAATTAGAATATCTTCAATTTTATTTTAAGATGACATGTTTTGGTTCTTAAAATTTAAAGAGTCAAGATCTAAAGAAATATCTAAGTAAACTTTGTATATTGATTCTTTGCTTGCTATTTTAATTAAAATTAATATATATCATCAAATATTGAAATGGTTAATTAGTTGATAAAATTTATTAATAATAAAAAAAATGAATTAAGATTCAAAATTTTAATAGAGTTAGGAATTTAAATGTAAAGATCACCCTGATAAACCTGTACTTTTTTGGTGTAAATCAGTTAATTGTGATGAGAATCGAATGTTCTGTCTTAGTTGCCAAAAGTAGAATAAACATGTTTAGCATTACGCTGAAGATGTCCTAAGCTTTCATGAATTAAATTCATTTTTAATTGAAAAATCAAAACTTCCTAATGGTCCCATTTCATAATGTTAAACATAATTCTAATCAACAGTCTAGTCATATGAGAAGCTTATGACCGGATTATCCTATAAGTTCTGTGGATTAGAAGATAAAATTAATAAATTAGAACCTCATTAAATATAACAGGCCCTAGAATCCTTGATTAAATTTGAAGAATTCAACAACCATTTGCAAAACAACATTTTAGGATTTTTGTTCAAATTTAAAAAAATTTTAGATGATCTTTTTAATAAACTAGATTTACATCTGATTTAATATTAGATGACTGATTAAGAAATTAAATTTAATAAGGATTAATATCAAAAAGGTTAAATTCATCTTTATGTTATTTTAGGTCTCTCTTTAAATATTAGAAATAAATATAATGATGCAATTCAACTATTTGATAAGTTATTATAAACTGAACCTTATAATGTAGAAATTATGTATTAAAAAGGTTAATAAAAATTATTATTTGAAGCGAATTCATTAAGTTAATTGAATAAGTTAGAAGTTGCTGAATAGATATATAAAAATATAATTACAATTAATCCAAAACATGAACTCTCTTTATTGAAATTAGGTAGATTATTATATTATTTAGGTGATATTTTAAGAAACTAACAGTCTTATTAGTAAGCTTAATAATTTTATGAAAAATGTATTTCAATAAATTAAAATAATTCAGCAGCATAGTTTGGAATAGGTATTATATAAATAATCTTTAGGGGAATGATTAAGGGAGACTAATTAATATCATCTTGCATAACAATACTATCTAAAAAGTATCGAATTAAATTCATATAATAAAGACTATTTCTTTTATTATGGTAAATTTTGATTTAAAATTATTTAGGTGATTGCTTAAGATAAGAAAAGAAATTTCAAGAAGCAATCAATGCCTATGATAAGGTTTTAATTAAAGATCCACATTATTCAGAGGCTATGGCAGGAAAAGGTATTAATTATGCATTAAATTCTTAAAGGAATATGTTTATGAAAAGTTAAGCGACTTATAATAATACTGTTTTTAGGAGAATTTGATGAAGCATAGATATGCATATAAATGTCAATATCTATCAAAAATAATTCATATTTAGGATTATATGGACAGGGTATAGTATAAGAAATATAATTAGGCATGCTTTTATATCAAATGAATCTCTATGAAAAAGCTATTGAATAATTTGATTAGGCTTTGGCCATAAATCCATAACATGTGGACTCCTTAAGTAGAAAAGGTAATTTGATTTATATTTATTCAAGGTAATTGTCTAGGATTGATGAATAAATTTGACTAAGCACACAATTGGTATGACAAAGCTTTGGCCATAAATCCATAACACGTTGACTCATTAAGTAGAAAAGGTATATTGATTTTAAATAATTAAAGGTGAATGTCTAGGATTGATGAAAAAATTTGACTAAGCACAAGAATGGTATGACAAAGCTTTGGCCATAAATCCATAGCATTTGAATTCATTATATGGAAAAGGTAATTTGATTTTAAATTATATTAAAGGCGAATGTCTAGGATTGATGAATAAATTTGACTAAGCACAAGAATGGTATGAAAAAGCTTTGGACATAAACCCAGAACATGTTGACTCATTAAGTAGTAAAGGTATATTAATTTGAAATTGATAAAAGGTGAATGTCTAAGATTGATGAATAAATATGACCAAGCACAGATATGTTTTGACAAAGTTTTAGCCTTAAATCCATAGCATTTGAGTTCACTATATGGAAAAGGTAATTTTAAAACTATTATTTTGTTAGCCTTTATTTTATTAGAACACAACGAATTAGACACTGCTTATTCTTTATTCAATTAAGCATATTAAATCAAACCAAACCAATAATTCAAAGATGCATTTTTAAGTAATTCACTATATATAATTAGCTTAATATGATCAAAAATAAAAATAATAATGAAAATTGAATTTTTTTATGTTAATTTAAATATATTTAAATTATATTAATTTCTTATATCTTAACTTTGTTCTAATTTTAATTGAACTTATTATTTCATTTTTATATTTTTCTAATATAATCTGGATAGTATAATTACATTTTTTCTTTATGATGATATAATCATAAAGCTCCAATTAAATTCTATAAGAAAAATTCAAAGTTTACCTATCTTTTTAAATAACATGGATCCTTCTACTAAAATAGTAATTGCCTGAAAATGAATGTTATGAAAGGGAAATAGTTTCAAATAAAAATTCTCACAATAATAAAAAAATATAACGCAGGAATTAAGTTACATTTAAATTTCTATTGTTGAAACTATATCTTAATTTGTTGCTTTACATTTCATATTAAATTTCTAAAAGAATCTACATTATTAATTAATTTATTCAAAAATCCAATAAGTTATAATAAATTATAATTAAATATTGGAATTTCTATAAAGGATATAATCATTTATATTAATGTATACTATCTTTCAATCTTTCTTCTCAGTTATTAAATAAATTTCTGTTGAATGATAGAGCATCTTATTATCTGTAAATTAATGTTATATTGTTCAACTAAGGATTTTCTTATTTAAATTGAAAATGCCTAGTAGTACCAATTTTTAAATATGATTGGAAGAGTTCATATAGCCAAAAAGGCAAGAATAAAATAATAGTATGTTTCAATTCAAAGCGTGAATAGTCTGTTTTATTAAATCTGGCCTCTTGATCAAAAATGTTAACTTAGTCTGCTTATTTCATTTCCAATATGGCGATGATGAGATTAATTTGAATTAAGGATTTTCTAAAACTGAATTTTTCAAAGGGTTTAAGGTTCTAGCAATTTGTGAGAATAAAGCTCTTCTGATTGGAGAATTAAACTCAATAAAGTATTAATGTATAGAAACCATCTGCGTTATTCAAAACTTCATTTAAATCACTCCACAATCTTATACCTGATATGCATAGTTTGAATCTAATAGTTGATTCCAGAAAAATTTATTATCATAATTCTCCGATGTGATTGCTATTGGATTACATAACCAAAATAATACGCAACAAAACTTTTGAAGTATTCTTAGTTAATGATTTAATTTATGAATGAACCATAATTTTGGCCCTATTATTACCTAACTTTTTTAGGTCTTATTTTTAAAAATAATTTCTAAATAACGATTTTTGATGAATTTAAATTTTTACAATATTCAAACAAAACGTCCTTTCATATCAAATGGATTTATCCAAGATTTCTTGATTATCCAAAGGATGAAGTTAGGTTATGGTACTTTTCTCAATAATACGTTATAATTCTGTTAGTTTAATTTCTTATAAGAAACAGCATTATTGTTATTATATTTTCTTAATTTTCTTTTTTTATATTATTTATGATTATAATGCAATCCATCTGATCTCCTCTAAGATTTTCCTCAATTACTTATAATTTAAGGTGAAAATAACACCGATTGTTTTATCCAATATTTACATCAGGAGTGCTTCACAGACGTAGGATAATTTTTCTAAGATGGATCAACGCTAAATGAAATTACATATACTATGGATTTTTTCTTTAAGTTTATGAGGAAATTCTATTCATGATTTCAAAATTTTAAATAATCAATCGATTTTTGATTCAAACGTTAATTCCTGTCAAGAAATTTTCTCAAATCACTGTTATTCAGAGCCATAACTGTACAATATCAATCTCTGCAAGCTGTTATAAGAATCTTCGAAATAACTCTTATCATTTCCTCCCCTAATTTGTGAATACAACCATACATTTTATTCAAGCAATCTTAATGGACATGAAGAATCATTCCTTTCAGAAAAATAAAACTATCATTATCAGTAATTGGATTACCTTTTGTTCTATATTGGTTCTATGTTATAATCTAATTCCATGAAAATTTAACTGCAACATAATTAATATAGCTATTTGAATAAATCAGTGCTAACTGCAACTCTCCAAATAATTGCGCTGGTAGCCAATAAGCATCTTTATCCTTTTAAAAAAGCTCTTTGTTTAACTCTTAACTGTAAATCAATTAAGTACTGAATGCAATCTTCATATCGTTAATATAAGAATAAAGAGAATCAGAAACAGAATTTGCTTACCTCATTTTAGAATAGTCATTGTTTAATGACTTATTGATAGTAAAAAGTGCTTTTATTAATTTTTATGTGTAAAATTCCTTATAATCAAAATTTAAATTGCTTCAAGGGCAAACCGATACTCTTGCTCTTTATTGCAAGTGTGATTACTTGTTTACGATAAAAAATATTTAGGATAACCAAAATTTGAAAATCAAAGGGGATGATATGTTGTAAAGTATAAATTTTAATTATAATTTAATGGTGGAATTGATGAATTTTCAGTATTAACCAAAATATTAAAACTATTTAATCTAAGATTATACAATGATTAGGATGAATAAAATAAATTGTAAAAATAAAAAAAAATTAACTCTTACTTCGACTGTATTGATCAAAATATAATTCAATGATGATCTACAACTTTCATTTAATGATTTATTCTCATATATTCAACAGATGATGATAACAGTATGAATGAAATGGGCTAATTATTGAATTTGTTGAGAAATCTACTAAATTCTAGATAGTATTATTAAAAAACGAAATAATATTGTAATTGATATAATTGATGACAATTTTTCATTTTATTAGAAAACTTTTTATTTTTCTAGTCACAGGTGTTTACTACTACTTATAATATTCTTAAATTATTGATTTTGTTAAAATAAACTTCAACTTTCTTTTACATATTTAATTCATATTCTTAAAGAATTTTTAATTTGTGATACTAATATGAACACTTAAATTTAAAGAATATACTTCATTAAATCTACTCAGTCTTTATTTAAACTAAGTTATTTTTATAAACTGTTAAGCTTTGCATATAAAATATTCAAATTCAATAAATATTTATTCCTTGGAGATATATTTTGTTAATTAAATAATCAAATGATTTATTATAACTAAGTAATTTAATTTATATCACAATTTAAAATGCAAATTAGCTAATGTTGAAGTCTCTTTATAATATATAAAAGATAATTCAAAACTTTCTCTAAAAGTCATAAAATGGTTCCATCTAAACAAAAATAAGATAAAAATGTCAAGGAAGTACATGAATTTAACAATATGGAAAGACGTTTCTGTTTTGTAAACTATTTAAAATTACAGTTGATTAAGTAATTATAATCAAGCAGTTTAGACATTCTTCCTAAATTTTTATATCTAGTATTTACCAAAACTATGCTTTTGTGATTTGTTATTGGAAGAACACTGAGAATAAGTAACTTCAAAGTCATTAGTACTCTACTCATTTTTTGAAAACTGTAGCCTAATTGAATCAGTCAAATCTTTACCTAAAACATAATGAGATATAAGTAGAGCAGAAAAAATAAAGAACGAGCAGATCTAATATTATAAATAGAATAGATAATTAATAATGAGAGTAGGGTTTTATTATACAAAATAAAAAAAATTATTCTTGACTTAACATTAATTGAAGATCTCTTTTTTTATAGGATAATGATATTATTACTATCTTTAAGTAGCTCTTCTAACTACTATAAATTCTGTCATTTCTAAATATTTACTTTTTACCATTTGTTAAATTACAACAAGCCAATTTCCTTCACTTTTTCAAGTTGCATCTTTCTCGTTCAGCATCAATTAATTTCAAAATTTGTTAGCTTGATACATCAGAATCATTAAATTCGATAGTAATTATGATTAATTTAGGATTTTCATCTATTCATTCTGGTTTATGTGTAAGTTTTAATGAATTAAATCTTATTCAAAACTCTATTACAAAAATTTTGAATTATTCATTAAAGTATTAATAGGTCAGGATCATTTTAATTTGATAACAGCAAGATTTAATTATTGATATAAATTTAGATGTATATTTTTCTTAAATATTTGGTTTTAGTTAATAAAATTTTTTAGTCACATAACCCAAACAAATAATTTTTGAAAAAGTTTAAAATACCATGAATATGATAATAATTTGATTATTATAAAATTAATCAATAGAAGAGGATGAAATAGAAAGTCCTAATTTAATGAAGATAATATCCTATTTTCGCCAATTTATTTTAAATTTCATATTGGAGGTAGGCTTATTTTATCCACATATCTAATAAACCAATAAAGTATATTAGATTTTCTAGTAAGGTAAGCCTTTTTTTTAGATTAAAACAAAAATTTTGCAACAACAAAACCATAATAGAAAATAAGTTGTAACAAAAGCCTCTTGATGCAAATTCAGCAAGAATTTTAGTAAAAATTAGAATTTCTGTAAATTTAAGCTCAATTATAGTAATTTTAATAAGATTAAAGAAATTCGAATAATATTAAATGTAGAAAAAGGTGAAGAAGACTTATAGAAAAATCTTAACGTGACTTGAATAGACTCAATTTTCATATGTAAACCAAGTTTAAGACCAAAATAAGTAATCATGTAAAATAGGAACATTGTAAAATAATTTTATGATTAATTCTATTTAATCGAGAGATTAGTTTAGGAAGTATTTTCTTTAAAAAAGCAATCCATATTAAGCATCATATATTTTTTGATAACAATTAATTAGAATTTCAATGAAGTTTTTATTAATTTATTTTTTCATTATATTAAATTAACAAACTAGTCCATTCAATAAAGTTGAAGCGTCAATAAACATGCTGGATTGAGAGCAATTAAGGAACCTAGGCAATTTGCTTAAGGATTTAATGAAGTAATTGAAACACATATTGTTTAGGAATCATTTCTACAGGTCTTGGAAATTGTTGGGGCTGTAAAAACGAGGATGAACATGGAAACCTGACAAGAGTTGCTAGAAATTCTTGCATCCTATTGTGAAGCTAATTCTAACATAGATGGAGGGCATATAATTTAAAAAGCAAAAGCTTTTTACAAATTTTTTTTTTGCTCAAGTTATTCATTAATTGGGTATTGTAACTTTTTGGTTACTAAAGCTTAATTTGCTTTACTTAATGATTACTCTTAATCAGATTTATTCATCATATTTCACAAATTTATTTTCGAACTAGCTAATCTATCGGTCCATTAACCCTTCCTCAGAAAAATATTTACTTACTTGTTTGTGTTTTCATTCTTAATTAACGTAAATATTATTATCAATAAAGATTCTAAATGCAAATAAAGAATCAGGTGTGTGATGAAACAACTCATTACAAATTAAAATCATATATAATTATTATTTTAAATTCCCAAAAATCTAGAAAAGAATAAATTTAAAGGGTTTTAATTTGATATTAATTGATTAATACAGTATATAGAACAATCTTTGGTTATTAAACTTTGGCTAGACAGTTTAGGAGTATAAGTTTAAATATATTGTATGGCTTTGAAGACAAAAACATTTTATAGAGATTTTTTAAAGTAATATTAGAGTTAAACTAGATATGAAATAGGATCATAAAAAATGGAGAGGTTTGAGTTAGAGCTCAAATTTAGAAGTAAATGATTTATTTAAAGGATTCGAGAAATAATGGAAAAACCTTTATTTAAGAGTTCTTTTACAAAAAATACTATAAAGCAGATTCATAGTTTGAATTTTTATGTTGATTTAAAATTAAGAGGATTTAGAATACGGCATATAAAATTTAGTTCAATAAAGATTTCTTATGTAATTAAATTTCAGGTTTAATTAACAAATTAAGGCGGTACATTTAGTTTAAAATTTCAAGCCAAGTTACAAATGAAGAGACTTTTTTAAATTTAAGCCATCAAAGGATAAATAATACTAATAATTCTTCCAAGCTTTTCTAATTTTTCTTCTGATATGTAATTATCAAAAAACATTACAATAGGATTTTAAAATAAATTTCTTCTAGTATACCATTGGAAGTATTTATTTATCCTTTCTATTTTAGATTTTTTTATTCTTTCAATAACTCCACTTATAATCAGACCGATTCATTGAATATGTCTAAAAATGATTCTAATAATTAACATTTTGAAATAAATTCATGTATTTCCGGACTTATTTTATCCTCCTATCTATTATTAACTTTGATTTAATTTGAATCTATTGATATTTAGAAAAACACTTGATTACGAAAAATTTTCATTAACTACAATTTACAAAGTAAATCGGGTTTGATGAATAAATCCAATTATATTTAACATTCTAATAAAATAATTAATCCATTTTATCTTATTTCTCTTATTATTCAAGTATTTTTTTATTTTAATCTTTTTAACTTAATAAATTAATCATCTTTTCAACTTATTTCTCTTTATTCTATAATTTAATAAAATCCTAAATATCTGAATTATTTTTTTTTAGTTCTTCATCTATAGTTTTGATCATTTTTGATAGTTATTAATTATAATAGTCTTTTAGTCCTTTGATTTCTTTTATAACTGTATTAAATTATTGTTATCTTTTACAATGATATTTAGAAATTAGATCCTTTGATTATCCCATAAATAAATTCCACCTTTATCATCGTCTTTTAAACTAATATATTAAATCGGATTATCTTTAATGCATTCTACGCATGCCATCTAAACTCTGGTTTATTTTAATCTATGCTTACCATAATTGTTTCCTTGTTATTTTTATTACAAACCTAATTAAGGCAAGGAGCTTTCTTAGATAAATAATTAAAAAATACATGTTAATTAAATTCTCTGTCAGGTATTTAGTTTATGTTGGCAGATTAAATGACTGGTACACTATGTTTTATTAAATCTATGAATACCAGAATTTAGTTAAAATTTTATGATTGTTGCTGAGATTAGAGTGTTTCATAAATTATTTGGACAAGAGCTAAGTCTTTTTCCATATAAGTTAGTTATTTAGGTATATTATAACTAAAATTCTCTGTATAAGTTTTTGATAGAATTTGAATTTCCTCATCATAATTTTTAATTTCTAATTTCGATTCCTTCTTTTCAATTTCAAGTTGAATTTATTCCACTTGTTGCTCTAATAATTGAAGCAATTTTCCAAGTTCTGTCTTGATTTAGTTTTTATAAGATTTTATTGATGATTATAATTGTTTTAAATTGTTTAGTCTTTGAACATTCTCCTCCTTCCCAAGTCTTTAAAATTAGGTCTTCATACTTTATCATATAAGTGGCTTCATTAGCAATGCCATATTTTCTCTATCCACTCTCTCAGCTAGACATCTTGCGCATAAATATTTGTCATCTATTCTTGTTGATGATTCAAATCTACCACGACTATTTCTAATTTATGAATTTAACAAATTCTTTTTTCAATCTCTAATTTTTACATTAGAAAATATTTTAATTAAATAAACTACATAATTTTATTAATACAATTTTAAATGAGGGATTATAATATTGTAGAAATTATACCCAGATTATTAATAATCTAAAATTAATGAAATAATTGTATTTTNTAATTCTTCCAAGCTTTTCTAATTTTTCTTCTGATATGTAATTATCAAAAAACATTACAATAGGATTTTAAAATAAATTTCTTCTAGTATACCATTGGAAGTATTTATTTATCCTTTCTATTTTAGATTTTTTTATTCTTTCAATAACTCCACTTATAATCAGACCGATTCATTGAATATGTCTAAAAATGATTCTAATAATTAACATTTTGAAATAAATTCATGTATTTCCGGACTTATTTTATCCTCCTATCTATTATTAACTTTGATTTAATTTGAATCTATTGATATTTAGAAAAACACTTGATTACGAAAAATTTTCATTAACTACAATTTACAAAGTAAATCGGGTTTGATGAATAAATCCAATTATATTTAACATTCTAATAAAATAATTAATCCATTTTATCTTATTTCTCTTATTATTCAAGTATTTTTTTATTTTAATCTTTTTAACTTAATAAATTAATCATCTTTTCAACTTATTTCTCTTTATTCTATAATTTAATAAAATCCTAAATATCTGAATTATTTTTTTTTAGTTCTTCATCTATAGTTTTGATCATTTTTGATAGTTATTAATTATAATAGTCTTTTAGTCCTTTGATTTCTTTTATAACTGTATTAAATTATTGTTATCTTTTACAATGATATTTAGAAATTAGATCCTTTGATTATCCCATAAATAAATTCCACCTTTATCATCGTCTTTTAAACTAATATATTAAATCGGATTATCTTTAATGCATTCTACGCATGCCATCTAAACTCTGGTTTATTTTAATCTATGCTTACCATAATTGTTTCCTTGTTATTTTTATTACAAACCTAATTAAGGCAAGGAGCTTTCTTAGATAAATAATTAAAAAATACATGTTAATTAAATTCTCTGTCAGGTATTTAGTTTATGTTGGCAGATTAAATGACTGGTACACTATGTTTTATTAAATCTATGAATACCAGAATTTAGTTAAAATTTTATGATTGTTGCTGAGATTAGAGTGTTTCATAAATTATTTGGACAAGAGCTAAGTCTTTTTCCATATAAGTTAGTTATTTAGGTATATTATAACTAAAATTCTCTGTATAAGTTTTTGATAGAATTTGAATTTCCTCATCATAATTTTTAATTTCTAATTTCGATTCCTTCTTTTCAATTTCAAGTTGAATTTATTCCACTTGTTGCTCTAATAATTGAAGCAATTTTCCAAGTTCTGTCTTGATTTAGTTTTTATAAGATTTTATTGATGATTATAATTGTTTTAAATTGTTTAGTCTTTGAACATTCTCCTCCTTCCCAAGTCTTTAAAATTAGGTCTTCATACTTTATCATATAAGTGGCTTCATTAGCAATGCCATATTTTCTCTATCCACTCTCTCAGCTAGACATCTTGCGCATAAATATTTGTCATCTATTCTTGTTGATGATTCAAATCTACCACGACTATTTCTAATTTATGAATTTAACAAATTCTTTTTTCAATCTCTAATTTTTACATTAGAAAATATTTTAATTAAATAAACTACATAATTTTATTAATACAATTTTAAATGAGGGATTATAATATTGTAGAAATTATACCCAGATTATTAATAATCTAAAATTAATGAAATAATTGTATTTTTATAATTTAATTCTAACTTAAAATATACACTTCCATTCTTTAGAAACATTCCAAATATCTATTTATATAGTATAATATGTTATTTGTTAAGTATGATTGTAACAATTTTCTAATAACTTGCTTCATCATTAATGGCTCAATACTAATAATTGTTCCTCTAATATCATTTTTTAAATAATTAATCCAAATTTCAGCTTTTTATTCCTTTATTCATATTTATTTTTCCTTATTGTTGCATAGTTTTTTTTATAATTACTATATTCAACATTAAAATAACCTAATTTTATTATTTGAGTCATCTTATAGTTTCTTCTTCCAACTAAATATTTCTCGAAAATGCATTATATATAATAGCATCTTTCATTCTGTAAACCAAAATCCTTTCTAACAGCATTTTTATGCTTTATTTTTAATCTTGTAAAACCTTTGAATTATTTTTTGCACAATTATAGATCTATAGAACAAAATAAGTTTAAAGGTTCAAAAGCTCCATGTAATGATGGATTTAGATATTCTATAAATTTGAGGAATTATAAACAAATTAAATCTAACTAGCATTGGTAAAGATAATTTTATCTTCTAAATGATTTTACATAGATTTAAATTCATTAAAAATTGATACCTTAATTTCTTAAAAAACTAAACCTTTATTCTGTTATGTAATTCTTGCCTTTTTTGAAATCAAATTACTATTATGATATCCTTCTTTTAAACTTTGATTCCCCAATTTTTCTAGCAATTCTTCCTTTAGTGTTCCTAGTTTATCACTAAAAGCTTACGCCATATATCAATCCCCAATTTTCTCAATTTTCTACCTAAATTAATCGAATCGTTTTCTTCGACATTTATTGTTTCCATTTTAGCCATCACTATCTCAATTAACTCATCCCTAACAGATGAAGGATGTTATTTAGCCCTCTATATGAGATTCAAACCATATAGTACCCAGTACCCTTCAAATAGTTGTCCCAACTTCTTATTCTTCCTGATCAAAACTAATTCATCTTAACTGAAGGATTCAAACATCCTCTGAGGTATGCTCCTGGATTCCAAGTCCTTTATCTAATTTATTGTTAAAGGTGGGACCATTTCTTTCTCTCTTTCCAATTTTGTACTTCATTCTTGAATCACAGTTTCTCTTTGGTTTTATAATTATAGATGCACAAGGTGACGTCTTCATTGAATAAGAATTCCATACAATTTTGTTGTGTGTCCCTTAATTTAGCTTCTCTTTTCCAATTATTTTCTTTCAATTGAGTTGTATGCATCTGAAAAATCGAAAAGAGTAATATTCTTTTGAATCAGAACAAGCACAACCTGTACTCATTCTGTATTTAGGTTATTTATAAAATTAGTTCTGAGAAAGAATCTCTCATTCTCAAAGAATTTTGTCTAATTGGTTAGGGGCTTAAAGTTACTCACAAATATGACTAATGGGACTTTTCACTCTCTGAATCTACTCATAATTTATAGCTTGAAAATTTAGTAACAGCTGGGCATTTAGGTACGGGTGCATCAGGTCAAATTGAGAAATTTACGATTAAGTCACAGAACAATATTTCGCAATGAATGTATAGATAAGTAATATATAGAGAATTCCCCTGATCCCCAATATTTGAAACAACTATCGGACGAATTAAAACTTGCTTTAGATTTGTAGTTGCCCTTATGTTGTCCAATGCTATCGTGCATTTTACAAATCTGGAACCCTAAACATATTTCTTGAATATATGGATGTCATCAATCAATTCTTTGATAAAGAAGGTGAAAATTCTGAATGAACCTGTCATGGCTTTGCTTTTATATCAAATTCTTTTAGGAATTGATTATCTAGACATTCACAAAAACATTTGACCATAAAATATCCTAGTAAACAAGATGGGCGAGAACAAGATCACCTACTTCGGTATCAAAGGCAAAATAGAAACTATGAAATAAAGAAAAACTTATGATGGAGATGCAGTTTATATATCAGTATGAATTTATTGGTAATTTAACCCGAATGATTGAATAAAGAAATGTATGGAAAGGATTCTGACATATGGTCAATTGGTATTTCAGCTGCAGAATGTTTAATGGGCAAACATTCTATATAGAAAACTCAATTTATATGGTTAATGAATTATTTTATTTAACATACAGAATGTTCAAGCTAAGATTAAAGTAGAAATGAAAAAAATTGATCCTTAAGTAGTAGTAATCATATTGATTAATTTCAAGTGTAAAATTGAAACCATAAAAGAGAGCAACAGCTGTAATGGTTGCATTAAGTGACATAATTATGAATATAAATAATTTTATGTAATATTAAAGATTCTATTTTTATGAAACAAAGTTAATATATTAATGAAAACAATTGAAATGTTATTACACTTCTAAAGTAAATAGAATCGAATTATTTATAATCATCATTTTTATTAAAATTATATGTTTGTGATAATAAGCTGACACTTATTTTTTCAGTAAGATATTTAAAAAAATAATTGAATAGGAGATAGAATTATAAGCCTAATAAATCTATTAACATTAATTCTTTAATTCATAGGCGTTATAAATATTAAAAAGTAATTAAATAAATAATAATTGAAATTCTATTATGAATTAAATAGAAGAACTAAGAGAATATCCATTTCTATTGAAGGGAATATTAAGAAAAGATAATCTATGGTTTGAAGTAGAAAGTCTTTAAGAAAGATTAACGAGGAAACTTGTAAAAGTAGATTAATTATACAAAATAATGTTTCATATTACTATTTGTAAAAAAAATATCATTTTATTTTTAGTGGTGTTTGAATGTTAGAAAAGAAGTTAGTATTTTCTTAAATCTTTGAGAATTGATCAAATTTATTTGAATAAAGATGAAAAATATTCTAATGTTTTTCTTTTTGAAGAAGATCAATTAAGTTCTACTTAAGAACAATAAACACCTTAAAAATTACTCTACAATTTATGTATAATTCTTTAAAAACTATTATTTAGTTAAAAATCTAGGTTTTGCTTTACCATATGACTTTTTTTAGATTAATGATCACTCTTAAGAAAAATTGCTAAATGAAATACTTGCAAATATTTTTGAAGAAAAAATATAAGATAAATAATACATTTTTTATTAGGGATATATTTTAAGAGAGCTTTATAATTTTGAAATCCTTAGTTGTCTATTATCTTCATAAGTTAAACGGGTTTATCTTATTAAAAAACCTTTCTATGTTAATTCATCAGCGGATTCAATTGTTTTAAAATGGGTTAAGTTTAGAACTGAGGAAGAACGTGCTGATTTATAGCACGAAATTAAATAATTAAAGTTACTTAGTAATTGTGATAGAATTGCAAAATGGTATTGTTATGACAGTTTCGCAGATCAAAAACTTATCTTTAGAAAATATTATGATTATACTCTAGAGTAAATTAATAATGACATAGGCTAGAAGGATGTAAATTGGGGAGATTTGATGCATTTAATAAAAGAAATGATATAGGCATTAAAGGAACTACACTCCAGAAATATTTATCATAGAGACTTAAAACCATAATATATTATGTTTGAATCTTTAAGTGGAGATCGAAAAATTTAATAAATGAGATGCGTGCTAAACAATTTCAAAAGTAAGAATGCCTACTTATTTAGAAAGTAGTTAGATATAAGAAGATACTCTTGAGTATTAACCGCCAGAAGGAACTTAAGAAAGATATGAACCTGCCTATAATATATGGCAATTAGGTTATATAATATAAAGTATGTTATTAAGAAGGAATAACAGAAAATTGTCTTTGTTAAGATTTAGACCAATAGAAATATAAGAATATAAACTTATATTTAAGGATGATAAAGACTAGGTTAATAAAAGAAATCTATAACTTTCCAGAATTTTATTTCAAATGTTGCGTCATAATCCTTTAAGAAGACCTTAAGAATTAGAATAAATTGAAGAGTTCTTTAAAAACTGGATTGAAAAAAATAATGTAGCTTGAATTTTTGATATAAAAACGATAGATTAACAAATAACCATATAAAAGTCTAAGCATATTTTTATTTTAATTACAAATCATGCTAATTTGAATGAATTAATAAAAATAAATTCTTTCTTAAATTTATTATTCTTAAAAATTAAAGTTTGCTTTATTTAGAAGTCAGAAATAATTATGTAAGTATATCTAAATAGAAGTAGATTGAGTAAATCAAGCTAAAAGTATAAATACATCAATACAATAAGTAAAGAGAAACAAAATTATAACATAAGATGATTTACTTTAAGTAGATCAACCGTCAAGATAAAATTTGGAAAATACACAATTTTAATCAAACTTTTTGAAAAGTACCTTCTCTCCTAATTTATTATTTTAAAGATGATTGTAACAATCTACTTTTAATGATTATTATATTTAATTTAAAATTTAGCAAGATCTAGCATTATTCTTGACGGATTAACCTAAAGGGACACTATCCTGTGATTTAGTTGATCTTAAAATACTAGAAAACAAGTAATTATCTTCCTTAACTATGGTAAGATGTCATACAAAGAGTATTGGTTTATAAATTAATGTGTGCAATCCACTCTTTATAGACTGATTTTATCCAAGTAACTTAGGAAGATTCATAATAAAATGATGACCCAAAATAGCTGGTAAATTTGCACCTTTATCTGAAGCAATCGTTTTCTTAAAATCTTATTCTCCTTTTTATGATTCCTTTCAACAAAATTCATTTATTAAGGATCTGGGGGAAATGGAGGTTTAACCTTTTAGGAATTTGTAATTTAAAGTCAATTTAAGCAAAAAAAGAATGTTGAAAGATCTCTTATATTCCTTCAGAATCTCCTAAACTTTGCCTTACGTTTTTATCTAGCGATTGTATCAGCAAACTTTCAAACTCTTTGATAAATTAAACTTGATTTTAATGAAAAATATTACATCATTAGGAAAACTTAATTTATAGGAGAGAAATATCTTAATATATTTAATTTGTGTCTGTTGAATAGCAAGGTGGTGATCTGCAAGTAATTCATAAAGGAAAACACTTAAACAATAAAAATCAACAGTTTAGGAGTTTCCTTATTTCAAGTGCATTTCAGGAGATCCACAAAACTAAAGGCTCTGCAATTCTAACATTGTCCTTCTATGTCCATTAGGATGCTTTCAGGTTTAATTTCTCTGTATAAAAATGTTCGTCGAATGAATTTCATTTAGACCCTTAAAATCAATAGGAGGAATACAGACAAACCAAATTTCTGCTATGTATTATAATTCTCTAATTCCTTTGATTTGTTTCAATTAGAAAAATAGTTCTCCGCCTTCCCAAAACTCTGGAATAAAAACGACGAATTGTATGGATTCGAACGCAAATGATAAATGTAATAAGAATAGACTGTTAAGTATAGTCATGATATTTCTTTCATTCAATATTATCTACTGCTTTTTCTTGGCTATGATGATTTCTTTATCAATGAATTAGATAGCATAAAATTTGCCAGTGCCTTTGTTAACCAAATAAACTTAAAAAAAACTCCTCACAATGATTTTCTACAAAAAAAATGAAATCCTTCAAACTAACCTTAGTTTCAAGTTATGCTTGCGAAAGGAAGGCCTCCAACTTTAAACCAGGATTCATGAGGACATTGAATTGTAATTCTGGTTGAGCTACATAATAGTTAATTGGTATTGAAAGTTATTAAGAGACGAAGCTTAAAATTTAATTGACTGATAGCTTGTCTTGCATTCTTAGGGTTTGCAAATATACTGCCATGCAATCTCTACAGAATTTAAAACCAAATAGATAAAAAATCAGAAAATTAGATTTGAAAATGTCGAGACCTTATGCCAAATAGAAAGAATTGTTGCTCAAACAAATATCTATTTTAAAGAATTATTGAATCTATTAAAAATAATGAGATTTAAACAATTAAAACAAGAAACCTTTTGGAAATCTTAATTTCAAGTATATTAATTTTGTTTAAAAACCATAATTATGTTCATGAATCAATCTTCCGCAGGAATATCTTATTAAAATTGATATTATAACAATTCAGTAATCACGAATCTATAGAGAGTGGGATAAAGTGAACTTTTAACTTGATGTAAGTTATGAATAAATATCAAAATTTAGTGGATATGGATATTATGAAAATGAAAGTTGGGTAATGGATGAAGCTTAGTTATTTGTTTTATATTTATTTATAAATCACTTATTTTGGAGAATACAATATATGGTAAGAAAGTAGGTAAATAGTTTACATAAAAAGAATGAAAAACTTAAGGAAATAAGATATGATGATTGAATAAAAGTAAAAAGTCATAATTTGACATTTTTTGAATTTTTATATTAAAGATATGGTTGATAAATAAACCTATTTTCCTGGTAATTTTCTTTTATCTGTAAAAGTTAGTTTGCATTGCTAAATGTTGAAGACTCGAATCTTTAAGTGTCTAAATTCAATGAAGATGTTGTAAAGAGTCATATTAACCTATAAAACTCAAAATCGGATTTAATCATTTAATTAAAATATTTCTTATTTATGATATTTTTTACTAGTTTAATACTAGTGGTTATTCAAAATTAAACAACTATATCATTAAAAACTACTTATTATAATTCAAATATTTTAATATTCATAATTCTCTGCATTTTCTTATCTGTATTTCTTTTGATCCATAATCCCAAGTAATCAAATATTCTCCATCATCACTCAATTAACCAAAAATACCACAAGTACCAAATTCAATTGATAATTATACAATAAAGTCACCATTTTCTTTCTTCTTCAGTAAATTAATATTCTTGGCATTCTTATTCATTAGGATTTATTTTGATTATATATATTATTATGGAAAAAAACAACAATCCTCATTTGAGCCACATTTCACTGAAAATTCTTTCGTCTTCCTATATGATTTCGTATTCTCCTCTTTTTCATATATATACAGTTATTCTTTACAATAAGGGGTGAATGTAAATTAATTATCATTAATAAAGCATAATCTTATTCCAAATTAATCTACTTGTATTTTTTAAGTAACACTCCATTTATTATTCAAATTTTCCTTTTCCATCACCAATATTTGTGAATCATGTGAACAAGAAATCAATTTATTTTACTGTTCATTTAAGGATAATGAATATACCTGATTATTATGATCAGATATCTTTTATTAACACAACCATATATCCTATTTTCTCCAAAATCTTATTGTTTTATCATAACTACCTGAGATAATTAAATCATCTTTATTGTTCAACAATAGACATAATATAAAATTTTCATGTCCATATAATTTTTATTAACATATCCACCAATTCCTTTCAATATTCAACCATATTATAATTGAATGATCATCACTTCCAGACACAAAATTATTTGTACTTTTCATGAAATTTAAAGTATTTACATTATTTGTATGTTCACTTAACAATTAGATGTAATTAAGTTCCCCTTAAATAAGTTGAAAGACTTAAATATCCTTTTAACATCCAGCAGCCACGATTGAGTAATCTTTATTAAAGGCTATAGCAAAACAAAGTTAATTTTAAGTAATTGAATTTTAATTTATAAGGTCAAAGGTGAATGGATTAAGGTTTGGTTTTAATAGATTCTAATTCTGAGGCTATTCTAAAATTTATTTATTTCTATTGAAATGTTGAATTTATAAATTATCATTTTTACATACATTTTGTTGTATTTCTTTTACTATCAATATTATTTATTCTATTGATTATTTAAGCGGCTTCAATAACTTTTCTTCACAATTTTCTATTTAACCGAAACCCTTTAATAACTAGTCAATCTGTTAAAGTCCTAATTCTGGGAATTATGAAATATTAAAGTTATTATAAAGAAGGAACAAATTTAATAGACTATCAAGTGCAATTTTACACTCTTAGACATTGCTTTAAATATTCTGAACAGAAAGCACTCTTTCCTTAATCCATTCAGATAGCAGTTCTTGTGACGTTAATTTGTTAAGATGTTAACCGTGACAAGGCAAACAAAAATGACAATAAGGTCTTTAATTTTGGCATCTAGTATCTATGCAAAAACCTGTTATATATTGATTTTGATGATCAGCTTAAGTACATCTAATCTACATTTTTATTTCTATTAAATGTTTTAGTAATATATTTAAGAATTATTATTGATTAAATTAAATGAGTGTGAAACCTCTAAAATAAAATTCTATTGATAAAATAATACTGTAAACTCACAAAATGGAAATTTTCAGATAATATTAATAACCACAAAGTGGCAGACATCTAATAAATTTTGCATTTTTTACTTTTAATCATCTTTTATGGAGAAGAATTAATTTGCTAAATATCTTAAAAATTGTTTATAATTAAATCAACATTCTTTTTATCATATAAACTAGAATGAAATATATGAAATGAAACCTATCTTCTCAGATTCTAAAAAAACTATTAACGAAAGCAATTCAACTTGTGAATGATACTCCTGAAAGACCACTATCCTCATTCGAAATAGAAAAATCAATAGTTGTGAGCATAATTCATATTTAAGCCTAATTTTTCTAAATTATTATCTGGGGGAATTAAATCTATTGGTATATAAAAGTTCATTGAATTTCATAAAAATGCATTTCAAATGTTCCATTGCTGAAATTTTACTATTCTTTCAACTTTATTAGTAAATCAAAGAAATAAGAACAGTCTAGGCTGTCTCTAAACTTCTCTGTCTCATATCCTTATTTAAGCTCTTGTATCTAGTAAATGTTTACTTCACTTTCTAGAAAGACTAAAACTGTTAAATTACTAAAGCTATTCAATATCTTTTATACAAATAAAGTATTTAATTTATACTCATGCACCACAATAAGTATATCTATATAATTGGTAGCTTCAGTTTCATTAAATATCCTGAAAAAATTAATTTACACTTAATAAAAATCTTTTATTGAAGATATTAAATACCAAATTAGAAATCTTGAAATGTCTTAGAAACCCCCTCAAACATAGAACCAATGTAATTATCAACAATCAAATTCCTAATTATTTCTAAAGGTTATCCAATTGAATAGGGAACCTAAATATGAATGCAAACTATATTTTAGATTGAAAATAAATAGTATCATCTCCAAATTACAGAATTAAGATCAGGAATTTTAGAAGCCAAAATTTTACCAAAACCCTTGAATATCTTCTCCTTCATTGCAATTACTTAACAATTAAATAAGATCTTTACTTCATTAAATTAATCTATTGGAAAGTACTTAATCCTTATCAATCAAATCATAATATATTATAATGGAGAATTTTTATTTGTATAAGTTTCTCTAGAATAATTAATCGATTAGTTCTATAAGAAAGGTATAGATAATTAATATCGAAGTTAATCTCAAACAATTGCGCATATTTTATTAAGTATAGAATTATGATTATTTTCGCAGTAGATTCCACCAAAAAAGGCTATGGTTTTACCAACTTTTGCTTTTAGCTTTGAAATATTAGTTATTGAAGTTGAAAATTAAGCAGAGATTTAGAACTGAGAAAAGAAAAGGAATTGTGGTTATAAATAGAATAATTTTTCTTTTAAATCTTGAAAATTAATCTTAAACTTTAGTAAGATTAATATTTACATGTAAAATATTGCATAACAATCAGATCAAGAAAAAGAAATTAACTAACCATTAGAATAACACAAAATAAACCCTGATTTGCCAAGAGAAACCTATGCCTCTAGATAACTTAAGTAAGTAACATCACATCAGCAAAAACATAAGTCTTAAGCATCTTGAGAAGAGGAAGGAACCTTTTGAGAAGTAGAAGTAAATGATGTAGAGCAAGTAACAGGAGTAGGAGAAGTTAAATTAGGAATTCAAGTATCGGTACTATATGGGGCATGATGAGTGTAAAGCAATTGCTTTTATGTGCACAGGAATGAATGGGTAAGATTTTGAATTATTAGCTCGAGCAGATTTAAAACTTGATCTAATAAAGGAGGTTATAAAAGAATAAATGAAATGAGAGAATAAAAATATAATATAAAATAATTAATTATAGATCTTATTTGTTAATCATATTCAATAACTAATATTTTAAGTTGAATGCATCCTAAATAAATTAAAAAGAATGAAATTTAATATTATTTATTTTATTTTGATCATAATATTTTAATATAGTAACAAAGATGATATTAAATTTCATAGATATTTAATATAAAATCTGAATTAACTTATTTAATGCAAGAATTATGTATTTGTAATAATGAATTATAAGGTAATGTTATTTGAGCACGTCTGATAAAACAATGTGACTAAATTAAATTACTTTAATTACATTTTAAAGCTATTGAATGATAAAAATAACAAATAATCTATTTTCCGATATTTTTTTCTTTTGCAATCCTCCTTTATGAAGAAATTTTGAAGGCTTAAGTGAATACAAAAACATTACTAAAATGTTCAATTATTTTGATAAGGAGTGTTATGAATTGCATTATATGTTTTTAAAAATCATCAAGATTTGAATAATCTTTTTTGCAATATTATAATTTACCATCATATATATATGATTAATAATTAGTTTCCTCTAAGTCAGAATTTCAATTAGAGGATTCGGAAGGTGATCTTTATTCTTAATGTTTCACTGCTTGAAGATTACGCTACAGAATAAGTAGAGAGATATCCTAAGGAATCAATTAATTTGCTATTTTAAAAACATAAGCCTAATGGATCAATATTTGAGAGATGAAGGATTCAAAAGGGAATTTTGTTTTTATAGTACTATCTTTTGGACTTAGTAAAACTCCATTCATCAAGAAAAAACCTGAAAATGCAGATATGTTAAGAAAATTACCTTAACATGATTTTAAGCAGATAAAGTAGGTCTAATTTTTATCAGTAAAAGTCATTCATAAAAACAATAGTTATTTAGAAAGGGGAGCTGAAAATTTCAGGAGAAATAATTCAGGCAATATAAGTATTTTAAATTAATTAGGGAGAGCAGAGAAATTTTAATTGCAATTATTGGCCATGCGAAATCCATATTCTATCATTCAGATTATGATGAAGATATGGTTGTTGAGTTTTCTTCAGTCATCCTAATTGTTTCATGCTGCCATTAAAGTTTTGGAGGATAAGAAATAGGAGAAATTAAAGAACCTCCTATCAGATAACTGTTTATTTCCTAAATGTAAATTGAAAAGAAACAGATAAATAAGTGTAAGTGAGAGACACAAAATTATAAAGGAAAATGTCTAACACTTGATAGTGTTTACTATTTCCTCTGGCCGGATATATATATATAGGTAAATGACAATCTGAAGAAATTTAGATGGAAGTGATAGATTTAATGTAGTTAAATTATGATTTTTTTTAGGTTAGATCCTGACTACAATCCATTTAATTCTCAAACATAGATGAATATATTATTAATCTTTCTTCACTAATTAATGTTGTAATGAAAATGATTTATTGATGAGATACATCAATGCCACTATTAATATTATAAAATAAAATCCTGATTATCATCTGTATATCTTATTGTGTAAATTATTCTTAAAATAACTGAACTATTAATTTAAGAAGACAGGAAATACTATTTATATAAAGTTACACTCTCTTCAAATTTTATAATTTGGTTAATTTATCATAAACTGATTAAATATTCTTTTTCCTTTATAGTTATCTCTGCTTCCTCGCTATGTAATTTAAATTTTTTTCAAATTTAGAAGCCTTCCATTCATATAGAATAGAAATGCAAACGTATTATTTTAAAAGACAAACTTAATACTTTAATGTGATTATTCTATTTAATATAATGAAACTTACTCTTAGAATTTAAAAATATTCAAATATTCCTTTCGCTAAAAGATGAATTCTTACACATCAAAAATTACAACAATACAGTTTCTCCAGATTTTTTGTTGTTATTAGTGTTTTTCCATTCTATTCAAGGTTGTTCTCTATGCCTATCAAACCATACTATAACTAAAAACTTGTTTTCTTAAATATGTCAGATCAATTCGACCAAGTATTATGCTTTCTAAGATTAAGATAGATAAACGTTCATTTTCCTCATCTCTCACTTTACATTATTTTTTCCTAATGCTCTATAAATCCTAATTATTATTCATAAGATCGTTAATAAGTAATAAGAATATTCAATTTATCCATTTAAGTTTAACCTCCTCATCACTTAATGAATGAATTAAGACCCATTTTATGAGAGATCAAATAAAACTGAAACTATTTAACTTTTTGCACTTATATTTCTTTATTAAATTAATATTTCGACAAAAAAAATAATTATCATTTAAAAAGTCTAGATTAACTTTTATGTATAATTATTTGGTAATAAATACCTCAAATCAAATAAATATATATTGATTATAATAATTTTAATAAAATTAGAAAATGTATATTCAATAAGTGTTATAAAGTAAAATCGAATGTTAAATGAAAGAAATGGAGAAAGAATTAGTTGTACATATGATAATTATTTTAGTAATCATTTGATAAAATAAATAATTTGATTGATTAGATATTCATTTTTGATAACCCTATTAATACAATTAATAATGTTAAATCACAATAATCACTACCAAAAATAAATCAATTTCATATTATTTATTAATCCAACTTTTAATCAATCATCCTTTCAGAATTGACACCTTTAATCAGTTCAAAAATCTCATCAAAACTCTAACTTAAATAAGATCAAAATATTCAATCACAATCATATAATCAAAAGACAATTAATTATTAAATTATTTAACATAATTCCATTAAATAGGAGAAATTTTGTTTTTCTTTTGCTTTTAATAAAAATTGTTCAACTGTTGCAGTTGGATGTATTAATTAAATAATCATATATGAATTCAAATANCAATGCCACTATTAATATTATAAAATAAAATCCTGATTACAATCTGTATTTTTTATTGTGTAAATTATTCTTAAAATAATTGAACTATAATTTAAGAAGACAGGAAAAACCATTTAAATCAAATTATGCTTAGAGAAAGTTAATTTATCATCAACTGATTAAATATCCTTTTTCCTTTTTAGTTATCTCTGCTTCTTAGCTATGTAATTTAAATTTTTTCAAATTTAGAAGCCTTCAATTCATATAGAATAGAAATACAGACGTATTATTTTAAAAGACAAATTTAATACGTTAATGTGATTATTCTATTTAATATAATAAAACTTACTATAAGATTTTAAAAATATTCAAATATTCCTTTCGCTAAAAGTTGAATTCTTCCACATCAAAAATTACAACAATAAAGTATCTCCAATTTTTTTTGTTGTTATTAGTGGTTTTCCATTCTATTCAAGGTTTTTCTCTCAGTTCTATTCGACCAAATATTGTGCTTTCTAAGATTAAGATTCATAAACCTTCATTTTCCTCATCTTTCACTTTACATTATTTTTTCCTACTGCTCTATAAATCCTAATTATTATTCATAAGCTCGTTGATAAGTAATAAGAATATTCAATTTATCCATTTAAGTTTAACCTCCTCATCACTTAATGTATGAATTAAGACCCATTTTATGAGAGATAAAATGACACTGAAATTATTTAACTTTTTGCACTTATATTTCTTCGTCTCAATTATTAATTTAATATTTTGAAAAAAAAATAATTATCATTTAAAAAGTCCAGATTAACTTTTATGTATAATTATTTGGTAATAAATATCTCAAATCAAATAAATATATATTGATAATAATAATTTTAATAAAATTAGAAAATATATATTCAATAAGTGTTATAAAGTAAAATCGAATGTTAAATGAAAGAAATGGAGAAAGAATTAGTTGTACATATGATAATTATTTTAGTAATCATTTGATAAAAATATATAATTTGATTGATTAGATATTCATTTTTGATAACCCAATTAATACAATTAATAATGTTAAATCACAATAATCACTACCAAAAATAAATCAATTTCATATTATTTATTAATCCAACTTTTAATCAATCATCCTTTCAGAATTGACACCTTTAATCAGTTCAAAAATCTCATCAAAACTCTAACTTAAATAAGATCAAAATATTCAATCACAATCATATAATCAAAAGACAATTAATTATTAAATTATTTAACATAATTCCATTAAATAGGAGAAATTTTGTTTTTCTTTTGCTTTTAATAAAAATTGTTCAACTGTTGCAGTTGGATGTATTAATTAAATAATCATATATGAATTCAAATAAGACATGTTTAAATAAATTCAAGTATTAGATCTACTACCAGGTTGTGTAAATACATTAAATTTTATGAAAAATTCTGATTAGTTCATATCTGGAGATGATAATGGCAATATTTCAATTTGGTCAATTAATAACAACAATTCATGGGTTTGCTCATAAACAATTAAAGGACACAATTATAGTATTACTTGTTTAATTGTGAATAAAATTGAAGATCTGATTATATCAGGCAGTTATGATAGGACTATTCAGTTTAGAGTAAAGCAAAATGAATGGATCTGTTCATAAACAATCACAGAGCATCAAAATTTTGTTTATTCATTAAGTTTAAATGACTAATAAAATTAAGTTATTTCTTGTGGAAGGGATAAATTAATATTATTAATCGAGTATTCAGAATAAAATAAAAATTGGATTGTAGTTTAAAAAATTTATGTTGATTGTTATGGACATAGATTAGGTTTTATTAACAATAATATTTTCACATTTAAACCTAAAGAGGGTAATTCGATGTATGTCTATGAGAAAAATAGTGTAAATAAATAATTCATTAAAACTAAAGATGTTATTCCTAATCAAGGTAATGATGGCCATAATTTATTTCCATAATAATATATTAAATCAAAATAATTATTGCTGATTAGACATAATAAATATATCAATTGTATAAGAATTATACAAAACGGAGAATTTAAACTTGAGTAAATCATCTAATTTGGAACAAATTCTATATTTGGGTCTTTAAGTGATGATGGAAATTATTTGGTGACTTGGGATGACTTATCAAAAGAAATATAAATTAGGAAATACACAGAATAATGAAAATCAATACATTAAAATAATATTTTATTCTTAATAAAAATTTCTAAGAGAAATATTCTAGTTTCAGATTATTGTAAAATATTTCACCAAACCAAACGTTACTCAATAAATGAAAATAATTTAACTTTTTAATTTCTCTTCTAATCCAATTACCAAAATATAATAATTTACAAGGATTAAAAATGACAAATAATATTTGTTATAAATTATGGTTTGATCCTTATAGATATTTTAAGCTGATTTGCGATGGAGAAAAATCTCAAATCTCTATTCTTAACATATATTGTATTTTATCCAAAAATTAATAATCCACATTTTATGCGCTCTAGTAAGAATTTAATAATATTAAATTCAAGCTTTCTAACTCAATTAATTTAATTTTCCATAGGCTCAATCATTATTGCCTGATTCCATCAATTTGTTGGTTTTACATAAGAACAGTAATTATTATAACATATTTTTGGATAACAAAATTATTAAGGGCTCTGATGAAATTTACCATAAATTCAATTCATGTAATTCTGGTATAAAGATTGATACTATGAGCAATATTTGAAGTTTAATTTTATAGCTCCACAATTTTTGATTATAATTTAATCTATATATTGTCTGCCATAAGCAAATTAGTATTTAAGTTATTAATTTGATAAAATCCTATTTGCAAATTATACTATTTAATTAATCAAATTGTATTTTGAGTTTTTAAATGGCAATTTTGATTTAAAAATGTGCGTCAAAGTATTAGAATATAATGATAATTGTAATTGAATTTATATTACTGATATTATCCTTGTTAATTTCATAAAATTATTTGTCTTAAGTTAGCCTAAAAAAACAATAGATTTATAAAAAGCGAATTATGATGCAAAATTCATAATTATTGATAATTTGAATCTTTAAGAAAGATTTTCTTGATTGTTTTTTTAAAGATCTTAGAAAAAAATTTCATTTCTAAAGAATATATTGTGAAATAGATGGATTATTTGGAAGAAGAATTGATTTTAATTAAATTCTATGAATATCTATTTATATATAGATTATATAACAAAGAAAGAGATTTAAACAGAAGTTAAGGATTTTTTCGAAAAAGGAGGAGGTGTAAATTAATTTAGGAATTTTTAGAAAAATTAATAAAATAAAAAAAAACCTGTTTTAACTATTTATTGACTATTTCCATCCTATTAAAAGTTCGTTCTCGTATACTTTTATGTTTTAAATTGAGTTTGCCAATAATTTTGCTTGAGGCACCCTTCTCTTTATTTTTGGTTATCAATATGAGACCCCATCAATAATAATATTTTTGAAGGATGATTGGCTATCAGAAGTATTTTGAATTGACTTCAATTAATTTGAAAGGAGAAAACTGGTTCTTTGAATAAAGGAACTTAATGCTCTTAAAAACAAGAAATTTAGAAAAAGCTTACAGAACTTTATGAAGTGTAGATATAATATCTAATTAATCAAAGCTGATTATTAAACATCATTCACTTTATAAAAGAATATCAGACAGCATATTTTTCTTCTAAAAATGCGCCTCAAATGTGGATATCCTAATTTTTGTGAATGAGGCATTAGAGTCTAACCAAGACCAACATATTAAAAAAGATACTCCAATTACTGATAATGATTGTTATACTTCCTGCAATCAGTGATTCTTCATGTTAATCATTACATTAAGATTGCTTGAATAAAATTTATCCTTGTAT